AGGATAAATTTACAGCTACTTTCGCTTAATTCAATGAGAAGAAAGAGGTGTACTAAGTTTTTGGACAGAATATCCTGTCTGCTTCTTGTACTATGGATAACCACCAAGAAGATAACAATGCACAGTGTATTGATTATCAAAACTGTCCTATTAATCAGCTGTGAAACTGTCTCATTCATATTTCTCAATAAAAATTAAAAAATAAAAATAAAACAAAGCAAAAGCTAGGAGGTAGACAAGACAAAGGATGCAAAAGCAGAAAGACCCTGTATTTGCCTTGACCCTTCTGTCTAACTCAGACTTCATTCAGCTGCAGCTCTGAGGATCTTAACTCAAGAACAACTGCCTACCAGATCAGTTGAAGTTGGGATAATTCACCAAATATTTGGACTGGAAGTGTTTATAAATGAATAGTAGATGAAAAGAAAAGAAATTGTTTGACCTAAGTATACAATGCCACTCATCCCAATTATGCAATATCTGTGTCTAGCCAGGCAAAACCAGAGAAGAATGCACCAACACCATCATCACCTGATCATATAACCGATGCGCTTAACGAACTGCCTATAGCGTGCCCTGTTAAAGGTTTCCAATCCCACAGCCAAAAGTTCCACTAATGAGTTGGCAAAGGCAAAAATTTTCATCATCTCTTGAGGTCTTGTTGTTTCAGGCAAATAATCACCTAGAAATTAATCAGAAAAAAGGCAAAAATTAATCAGAAAAAAGGCAAAAATTAGGGCTGGTGAGATGGCTCAGTGGTCTAAAGCACCTACTTAGAACAAGCTTAGCAAAGCACAGGGACCGTGGTTCAATCCCCCAGCATCACATGCCAGCCAGCCCCACCCCCTGGTGAGCTGAGCTACACACACACACACACACACACACACACACACACATAAATAAATAAATAAATGAAGAAGACATTTAAAAAAAAAAGAAAAAGGCAAAAATTGTAATTACTATGAAAAATAGTGAAGGACAGATGTTTGGTACTTTAATAAGGAACAAAGCCAACATGCAGAGGAATTAACTATCCCTTTACTTAAAACACAGAATATAAAAAAAAAAGATATTTAACAAAACTAGGCAATGTATAAACTAGTCATCCTTCTGACATTCAAGCACTAAATGAGAAATTGTAAGCACAAGAGAAAGGAAATCTACAACACACGGAACAGAAAAACCTCAATCAGGAGCCTACATAAGAGGCAAAACTGGATGCTTCCTATGTGGAGTTGCCATTACTACATTTTATTTGTAATGGTAACAACTGGTCTACCTTTTGCTTTAAACCCAAGAAGATGCTGAAAGAGTTCATGAAATGGAAACTGTGATAAAAGGATAACCAAGTCATCTTCATTAAGGAGAATCCAACTGGTTTCAGGGTCTTCATCCTAAGGGAAAAATGCAAAGTCCTTTCAGCAGATTTGATGAGATCTCATTATGGTCTAGAGTTGAAGGAGTTGTGACTCTTCATGGACTTCTACTCCAGAACTGAGATTTACAACCTCTGTTTCACATATAGCTTGAAAAGCCTCTTAAATTGCAAAGCACAATTTCTTATGCATTTGGGTCACATCCATTCCTCAAGGACTAAAATAGCTCTTGGGATAAGCTCTTAGAAATTAAATTTCCACTCCAAAGAAGATCCAACCTCGCCCCTTAAAAAAAGTCCTCTAGCAGGCAAATTCTACTGCATTCAAATCAATGCTGTGGCAATATCTAGTAGAACCGAAGTTATTTTCTATATCATTTTCTTTCCCCAAAATCAAGGTCTACTACAGTATTTATGGATTAATGAGGAAGCAATTAACATTTGCTCCAGATAACTAAAGTTTAGCCATGAATTAGTGCTGCTGAAAGCAGGGTAAAAATATCAGAGATCACACACAGAGATTATCTAGGAGCGGTCTTGGGAGTCTTTTTATTTGATGTAGAGCCGCCCCCCCCCCAAGTCACCCTGGAAACCAACTTAATTTGTGTCCTAAGACACACTACATTTAAAAGAAGAATGTAAAAAGATCTGGAGAGAAGAATTTATCACCTTAATTTCTTTTTTTTTAATCACCTCAATTTCAATGAACTAATATAATTAATTCACTATGTATTTATACCATTCATGTTTATCTCCTGATGCACATACTATGGTTTGAACATCATTTGTCCCCAATGGCTCATGCATTGGGAGTGTGGTCTCCAGGATGCCAATATTAGGAGGTAAAATGGAGCTGTAAGCAATGGAGTCCAGGAGCAGGTCCTTAAGCCTTTCAGGGTGCTGCCCTTGGAAAGAATTAAGAAAGTTCTCATAGGACCCCTTAGCAGTTCTCACAAGAGGGTTGTTATAAAAAGACCAAGCTAACCTCATCCAGCTCTCTGTCTCAATGTTTTAAGATATGATCATTTTTCCTCCAGGCATGCCACCATCTAGTCTTCCAGCTTCCAAAAATCATGAGCTAATAAACTCTTCTTTATACAACTAGCTTAGGAATTTCATTACTATAATCCAAAACAGACTAATACCATGGCTAAAATGCCTAACAAAGCCTCAGAAACTCAATTTAGAATAGTAGTTCTCAATGCTAAGTATACATTAAGGATCTCCGGGAATGAGGTGAAACATCTGGATGTGTGGGCTTGGGTTTGGACAGAAGTGTGTAAGTTATCCAAACTACTCCAATATAGAGCGAGTGTTAATTAACTACTGACCTAGATAATCCAGTCTGCCTTTCCCCCAACAGCTTTTTCTGATTAAACAGCATTTCTAACTTTCTCATCAACTCTTAAGATCTCAAATTCACTTAACATTTAGTGATTGCTAACAAGAACAAGGCACCAATGCAAGGCCCTTGGAAACATTAGTCTTTGAGAACAAATGCTTACCCTCCCCCCGCTAAAAGACTACTCTGCTAGGAAAGACCACTCTGGAAAAACATACTGCTCCACCGCAATCTTTAAAGGACCAAGGCAGCTCTGAAGAAGTTCTCCTCAAGGAGATGGCTCAGTCTCTAGCACAGCTGTTTGTATTTCTACATCATTTACCATTTACCACCACTTCACTGCCTAATACAAGCCTCAGGAGGAGTAAAACAACTGTGAAGGCGGTACCTACTTCTGAACAAATACTTGGAAAAATACAGACAGAATTCTCACAGCTACTACTGTTGCCTTTCTGAGAACTGCTCACTTCAAAGACAGAAAGATTCTGTAAATCTGATCGGTGGGTATCTAGATAAGAACATCAAATCAGAGGGCTGGCAAGATAGCTCAGCGGACTAAGCACCTGCTAAGGCAAGCACAGGGGCCATGGATCGATCCCTGGCACCACATGCCCCAATGGTCCATGCTGGCCCCAACCCCCCAGGAGCGCTGAGCCAGCCAGGAGACCGGTCATGGTGGCACTCGCCTGTAATCCCAGCACTGAGGAAGCTGAAAACAGGAGGATCACTATGAGTCTGAGCTGCGTAGTGAGACCCTGCACCAAACACATAAAAAACAAAAAACATCAAATCAGGATCTGGACCAGAAAGAAGTATTAGGGCTCAAACTCATAATTAGCTAAAGGAAAAACTTCTCACAAATATACTAACCACATATACACTACAAAATTAACAAGCATTATATTGAGAAGCTGAATACTGGTCATCAAATTTTCTTTTTTTTTTTGGAACCAGGCATTGAACTCAGGCCCTTGCGCTTGCCAGGGAAGCACTTATTCCACTGAGCCATCTCCCCAGCCCCTTCATCAAATTTTCATAAAAAATAAAAAACTAGCATCGAGTTTTTTGGGGGGTTTTTTGTTTGTTTTGTTTTTTTAGTCTTTTTGAGACAGTCTCACTATGCAGTTCAGGCTGGTGTTGAGCTCACTTAGTAGCCTAGGCTGTTCTAGAACTTGCAAGGATCCTCCTGCCTCAGCCTCTCAAGTACTGGGATTACAGGCATGAACTACCGCGGACACAGACTACCTTTCAAATAAAAAGATTCAAGTAAGTTTGCAAGTGTTAAGGTAGAATCCTCAGCCAAGCTGTTCAGTATTCATACTCTGACTATCTGTAGTGAGACCTCAAAAAAACTCCAAAAACTTCCAGTATGTAAAAGAAAATCCTGGGCTGGAGAGCTAGCTCAGTGGTCTAAGCACCCATCTGGCAAGTACAAGGACCCAGGTTTGATCCCCAGTACCACACGCCATGCTGGCCACCAAAACTTGACATGGTGGCGCACACCTGTAATCCCAGTGCTGGGCACTCTGAGACAGGAGGATCATTGCGAGTCTGAGATGTATAGCGAAACCCTGTATGAAAAAAGAAAGAAAGACAGAGAGACAAAGACAGAGACAGAGACAGACAGACAGAGAGAGACAGAGAGAGAGAGAGAGACAGAGAGAGAGAGAGAGAGAGAG